ACGGCGAACTGTAGTCTCGCCATGTCCTCGTTGTAGCATTTCTTGCAGCGGAAGTGTCGGAGTGATAATCCGAGCTCCTGCATCCGTGCGCTCAGTACGAACCTCTGATAGAACGACTTCACGCAGTCCATCGCCTCGCCGCCGATCTTGATGCTGGTCTCCGCCTCCACTAGACATTTGAATCCTGCGCGCGCTATGTGTAAATGTGGAGGTCCGAGCTTGTCCTTCACCGTCGGGAGCCCAGCCGCCTCCGCGTAGAGCTTGCCAGCGGCCCTGCAGGCCACGATAATCGGGGACAGCGTCGGCAGGATCACGCTCACCCATACCACCGATGCGAGGTCTCGTAGAAGTTGAGAGTGCATGCAGAAACCTTTTAGGAGGAGGCTCAGCGCCGCTGCAACGTCTTTTGCCTTGAGCGCGCCCTCCACCTGGTGTAGCGTGTCCTCTGCTGCGTCTGCTGCCTCGGCCACCGACCTCCGAGACTTTGCGCCCCTGCCCTCCTCGCCGCCGCCACCAGGGTCCTCGTTCTTGCGCTTGCCCAGTTCCACGAGAGCCGCGAGGTCCATCATTTCGCCTTCGGTGGAGGCCGCCATCGAGAAGGCGACGCTGGTGGATGATCGGCTGTGGGAGAGAGCAATGAGACCTGATGTGGACTTGAAGGTCGTGTAGACTTTGAGCCTCGAGCCAACAGACTGGGCAGTGCAACTCTTCTGGTATACACACGTCCTGCGCTAAGAAAGAGCTCCTCCCCCGACTGCAGATGTTACGTTTGTAGGATCTCATGACGTGGCGTTCGGCGTTCTCCTTTGTACTCAGAACTTGCATACAGCGAAAGCACTGGTTTGTAACAGTCAAGAGGGACGCTTCGTTTCGCACTCTGCGTGCCCGCCCTGCGTGGAGGAGGAGCGACTTCATGGTGCTGAACCTCTCGTTACACTTGGCGCCCGTGCTGATCACCATGTGGCAGATGAACTGGCCCTCTTGGACCGTCTCCTCCTCCTCCTCGGGGACCTCGGGGGCCTCTGGGGTGAACTCGGGCGGTGCGAACGACTGCGAGTAGGCTGCAGCACGGAGGACCGTGAAATCCAAGAAAGCCCAGTCCCTGTACTCCTGGAGGTACAGCAGCTTCACGAGGGGGTAGCCCGAGGGGACCAGCGTGTAAAAATCCTCGACGAGATCATGGGCATGCTTGAGGTCCTCTAGTAGCTGCCGAGCCCAGGGGTTGGCCTTTGGGGTCAGTTCCCAGTTGTCGTCAAGGGTATCCTGGTTGTTGATGGCCCCGAAGATACAAGCCCGAACTTGACGGTGGGCCTCAAGGAAACGGGCCCAACTCTGGAGCCACCCTAGACGACGTACTCTGAGTTCCTCGAAGGTAGGTAGGATCTTCCAGTACTCCCAGACCTTTTTTGCTGGCCAGCGCCGAATTTCTCCTTCAAAGCTCCGGGTGGTCCCCTGAAGGCCAAGGCCCCTACGCATAGCCAACATCAACACACGGTCCGACTGCTCACAGAAAGACGAGTCCACGACGCGAGCCTCCATGCCCGAGAGGAGGGCCGCCTGAACGAAAGAGATGATCGCCATACGCTTGATGGGACGAGCGGCTGGCCTGACCAGGAAGCACGAGATGAGCCCCAGACCGTTTTTTCCCGCCAGAGTTCGCTTCGACTTCTCGACGGCCAGGGACCCCGTGGAAGTGAGCCAGCCTCCCAGGATCCTGATATGACGACCTCGGATCCCTGAAGTTTTTAAAACACCGCTGTGCCACAGGCGTCGTTGACCTATGCTGCCTCGACCGAAGATGCGAGCAAGAGTGACCCGCTTCTCAGGGTTCAACGTGATACCTATCTCGGAGAGGGCCTCACTCAAATTGTTGCTACTCGACTCCGCCAGCGCCGCCAAGGGTGCCGCCTCGCTGCCGTTCGAGAAAGGTTCGGGTCCCCACCCTGGAATAATCATCTTCGTAATGTCATCTGCGAAAATCGTTAAGCCTACATCGGTGGAAGTGCCGTCTATCTCGATGGCCTCTGCATACTGCCGAGAAGAAGTCCGAGAGCGATGATCGTGAAAACGGGCGAGACCGAGTTCGTAGTAAAAGGGGAAGGCACGGGCGGGATTGGGGTGTCCCATCATTTCGCCTGTTGCGGGCCGAAGAGTAATCACCTCCGAGTTGGATTCAATCTGGAGGGCCCCCTGAACTGCACGACGGTGTTCGAATACGATATCTTCCTGTCGATACAAGGACGGGAGGGACTCAATGATAGTTTTTCGGTCAGTGCTCGCAAAAGCGTTCGAGGCGTCCTCGTTGACGATCGCGTGAGACAAGCCCTCCTGCTCGAGGCGCCACGATGCACATGCTTGAACGGCAATTGCGTCCTCGCGGCGGCGCCTCGGCACGAACCCGTGGCAGTGGCATGGGAGACGCTCACGTACCTGTCTGCCCCGCTGCCACAGCCAAGAGTGCCAGGCCTTGCCCATCGGGCAGAACAAGTGAATCCATCGCTGTCCCGCGGCCCCAAGCTTTCCGTTTCGTTTGTCCAATCCGATGCAGGAAGAGATGTCGTAGAGTAGTGGTGATTGGCGAGCTCGCCGAAACGTAGCGATGATGTCCGTCATGCGCTCGAGGAAAGCGGTAGCCGTCGAAGGGCGCGAGCAGGCCCCCACTCCACCTGTGGTGAAGGTCTCCCACACCGCCTCATCAAGAAGTAGTAGCCATAATTCAGACGGCATTGACCAGTGGGGGCATGCCCGACGTTTTGGGGAAGATCTCAGCACTTGTATCATGCCCTGTAGATCCTCCTGTGCCTGTTCCAGGTAGATGGCCTGCAAGATGTTATATCTCACCTCTTCGGATCTGGCAAAATCTTCCTCGTCCTCGAAATATGTTCTGTCGAACCGTTCTACCAACTCCGCTTGTAAATCACAAGGAACTCCGCCCATGCCACCAGCCGCTGCGGGTAGTTGAAGAAAAGAACTTATCTGCTCGGCTTCGCATTGCTCCATTTTGCATACAAAGTAACGCCGCTGGCGAGGACCGCGTCCTCGTCGAGACAGACGGCGTATCAGTCTCTGGACTGTATTGTGGTCATGGGCGGACCAAGCTTCGTTCAACTCCTGGACTATCGCCGCCGTCTTGTCCTTCGTGATCTGCTTGGACAAGGAGCGGATTCTGAATGTAAGCCTTGCTAATTCCAATTCCGTGTCCTGCCAGGAGGCTGTCTCGCGCCCTGTAAGTGTGCCTTTCAATAGTTTTCGCCGTTCCAAGGTGCGAGAGCGCTGGTGTTCAAGGTCAGACTTGAGCTCCTCGGCCGGTGTTGGCTTGCTGATAAGATCCTTCGCCTTGTTAACTAGAAGCGTGGCCGTGGTGTTCCATAACTCGTCCGTCGTGGGCCTTGTGCACATGCGAATCCATTCCTCATCGGGTATCGTCATCAGTTCGCTCTGGATGTCCTCGATAAGTTGTGTGCACTGCTGGCCTCTTCGGGCCGACGCCATGATTCGGTCAAAATCCCAGCCTGGAGCTGAACCCATCTGCGATTGAAAACAATATGCGAATTCCACATAGACTGGTCGATGATCTCGATCGTCTAATGTTTGAATGGGTTGTAGCCTTCGACCCGCCCTCGATAGCACCTGGCAATTCGTCATGTACGGCATGAGGGCTTGGGGCAAGTGAATGAAGTCGATGCGGCTGCTTCGACCCATGTTCCCATAATAGGTGGGCCCCGCGTCTACGAAGCTGTTGCAGGCCGCCAGCTCGGTATCGTTCAGCATCTGGTGCCAGAGGCGACCTGCAATCCCCTCGACCGAGGGGGAGAAAATGCCCACAGCTCGATCCTCGTCCTCTTCTTCCCAATAGTGCAATGCTGCTTCGTCCACTGTGGTCTCGTGGGAGACGCCGAGGCCGTCGTTCAAATCGCAGCCAATGATGGGCGTGCAGCGGGCTCCGACGGACTGAATGGTGGTCCTCGTCCAGCCTATGAGGGCCTGCACCAGCGTGCGGTATTCCTTCGTCTGGCCGCGCCCCGAAGGTTGGCACGGAAAGTACAGCACGATCAGGAGCACGTCCAGCGTCGACGACTTCAGGCGCACAGCCCCCGCCCTCCCCTCCAGACGAGGTGGCGGGGCGTAGATGCGGCGCAGCCAGCGCCTGGGAAAGACTTGGTTGTGCATCATGATGGAGACGCCGCACGCTCGATTGCTGGATCGAGACCACCCGAACGAGATCTCCCAGTGGCGTGGATGACAGAATAGCTGGTGGGAGTCTTCGCCCTTCTTCCGACATGTACCTGGTAGTAGAAGGATGCCCGTGTTGTGAAACTCCAAAGATATGTCGCAGCATCTCATGGGCCCGATTAAATGCATCGGGTTGTACGTGCATGCCCTGATGTGTGTCTGTCCACGAGGTGGGGGACGTTGGCTCGGTGTACTCGTCATCGCCCAAACAGAGATAGCGAACACCGCCTGCGGGAGCCACCAGCGAGAAGCCAGCCCCCGCAGAGCCATCCGTCGCCCCTCACGGGCTCGGCAGACCCCGCGGGCGAACCATCATGCCGCTGTCGCGGAATCTCTTTCCTTTGAAGTGGGATGAGCCGCGAAGGGGGGGGGTTTGGGCCGCTGCGGCGGCTGAGGAGGAGGAGGAGGAGGAGGAGGAAAAGGAGGAGGAATAGGAAAAGCATAACAAGAAGGATGAAGAGAAAAAGGTGGGATACGAGGGTGGATGATGATCAGGACAAGCAGAAGGCAGCACAGCATGACGACAAATGACGAACGACGGGCGACGCCGTCGGCGAGACGAGTACCGGAGGGGCTGAAGCGGTCAAGCCCCCCAGCCCGAGGAGGGGGGAGGAGAAGAGGGTGAGGAGCAGCAGCGTGAGGAAGAGGGGGCGCCTGCGGAGCAGGAGAAGAAAAACAGCGGACGACGACGACTGACGAGGGACGACGACGAGAACAAACGACGGCGACGAGCGACGGCGAACAATCTCAACCGACAAAGGTCGGACGTTGCCCATCCGGGGACAGCATTGCGACCGCGGCGTTGTGCACGACGATGAACAGCAGCTCGGCGACCGTCCGCTTCCGCGGGCCGGCGGGCCTCGCCTGCCGCCAAGGGGGCGTCCTCTTTCTCCTCCTCCCCCCTTCCTCCCCCCCTCCTCCTCCTCCTCCTCCTCCTCCTCCTCCTCCTCCTCCTCCTCCTCCTCCTCCTCCGTCATCTTCACTCCTCCTTCCTCCCTCCTCCCCCGCCCCTCGCCCTCATCCTTGAATGGAGAAGACAAGGGGCTGGGACGAGGGCAGGAGGAAGACGAGGAAGACAAGAGCCAGGGATCCGCCCCCCCCCCCCCAACAAAAAAGAAGACGCGCAGCCCCCGCTCAGGGCCCCCGCTCAGGGCCGCCTGAAACAGGCCACCGCTGACCAGGCCTTTGAACGCCCTCCTCGGCGGGAACGACGCTGTCTTTCTCTCCAGGGCAGCCACGCAGCGTTGAAGAGAAAGCGAACCTCCAAGCGCCATGCACAGCCACGAACGCGCGCACCCCTGGAGGAAGCGACGCAGGAAGCGGGCCGCTACGAACCCCCGAGCCGCCGACTTCTCGGGCGCGGCAGCTGTCCTGGTGCATCAAGGAACCCCCCCCCCCGCTCCTACGGGCGGGCGCGCGCGCCTCGTGCCGCCACGAGGAGCAGCTTGACGAACCAACAACACACACCCATACCCATAGGGGGGTCGGAGAGGGCTATGGGTGCGTGTTGTCGAATGGGGGTCCCCGCTCGAACGTGAGCGTTCCCCAGGGTCCGACAACCCGCACCCATAGCCATAGCCAGTCCTCCTCCCAACGACCCCCCTATGGGTATGGGTGTGTGTGTTGTTCGTTCGTGAAGCAGCGGCCGAGGAACCACGGCCACGGCGAGCCTTGGCCACGACCAGGCCCCCGCGAGCCACGGCCACGAATGAGCCTCGGCGGAGCGGCGGCTCGCCTGGCCACGGCGAGCCTCGGCCAGGAACGGGCCCCCCGACCTGGCCGATCCGAGGCGCGGCCCGCACACGAGGAGCAGCTCCCCGACCCCCCAAGGAGGGGGCCCTCGTGCTTGCTCGGCGCCCTGTCTGTGCGCGCCCAGCCACGAACAGGAACCGGCCCCCCCCCATTTGCGAGGTCGCCCTGGTGCCACGAGCGCTCGCGCAGTGCGCTCTCCCGAAACCCAGGTGGGGTTATGTGCGCGCGCGTCTCCGCTTCGCTCCAGGATGCGGGCAAAGATGCAGCCCAGGACCTCTGAGGGCCGGGGAGCCCGGAGGACACATCGGGCGCCGCGGCCGTTCCCGAGGACCCTGGAACGCTCGGAGAGTGTTCTGGAACGCCCCGGAGCGACTACCGACGTACAGACGGAGCTGGGCCGCACAAGCGTGGGTCAAGAACATGAACCCCTGGGCCGAAGGCCCATGAGGCCCAGGGAGAGGCTCGAGACGAGGGGCGCTCTCAAGGGTCCCGCGTTCTGGAACGCCCGGAGAGTGTCCTGGAACGCCCTGGAGCGGCTCAAGACTTACAGACGGAGCTGGGCCGCAAAAGCGTGGGTCAAGAACATGAGCCCCTTCGCCGAAGGCTCAGGGGGCCCAGGGAGAGGCTCGAGAAACGAGGGACGCTCCAAGGTGTGGAGCCGGGAAACCTCGTGCCAGCTGTATCGCCGAAGGCCCCAGGCCCAGGGAGATACTCAGAACGAAGAGCACTCCAAGGTCTTGGTCATTCTTTACTTTGCGCAAGGGTTTTTCTCTCAGTCTCTAACTCGGCGCGTTGGACATCAATTTTGACAAAGATCTTAGGTCCCAACAGTAAGACAACATACGCTAAACAAGGATTCATGCTTTGCGTTTTTAGCTGCGTTGTTCTAGCGTATTCAGATCGGCCGGTTGCATTGTGTACCATTGCCGTCCACAGCGTCCTCAGTTCCCTGTCCTGGCGAGCAGTCCTGCCCATACCTCACTTATGCCGATCATCATTCCTGTTGCTGTTGTCTTACCCTCGCTGCTGGCTGGTGCGTCGGGCCTCCGGACCCGATGGACGTTTGCCCCTCCTGGGGCCATCGGGCATCCCGTCTTGTGTCGGGCTGGTGTTCGACCGGTATTAAGGTGTTCTTTTGCGTTTTTTATTTGGCCTTGAGAAGAAGGACTGCGGTGGAAACGGAAAAGCGAAAGCGAAGACAGCAGGGGAGACAAGGAGCAGTCTTCGACCAGAAAGCAGAACAACACGCTGGAACAGTGATGATCCACAGCGACGGGCCGAACAACGCGAAAGCACGGAGCAAACAACGCTGAAACCCCTTCGCTTTCAAGGCTGAATGCCCCAGCACGCAGAGCATAATGACACCCCTGTAAATGTTGTTTGTTGCCTGAACCCTCGTGCTGGCTGTATCTTTCGAGGAACGACAAAAACACTGCATACACATCAATCGGGGAGACGTAAGACTCGGGTACGGGGGACGCGGGTTGGCCTGACGGGGTCCATCATAAAAATGACGAGACGCAATCTGAAATTTGACGCGAGCTCCCACTGCAAACATCCCACGAACACTGGACCGTCAAAATCCACGACGCGCTCGTCAAAAAACGTCGGCAAGCCCGAGTTCCGGCTTACCCGAGTCTTACGTTCCCCCGAATCAACTTCCGGCGGTCCGCGCGGATTTCTTGGATCGGCGCCTGCCCTGGCGCAGGGAGCACGCCAGGGGCGGCGGCAGGGGCGGCGCCAAGGAGGCCCAGCAGAAGACCCACGAAATCCGCACAGACCCTCGAACGCTTAGAAAAGTTTCTCCTGCTTCTCCCAGGCCCCGAAGAAAGCCGCCAAGAACTTCCGAGAAAGCAGCCGCTGGGCCTCGAGATCTGACAACCCGCGGGGCGCCCTCGGGTGGCTCTGATCTTAGCTGCCCCGATACGCACCGCGCAACACGTAGCGTATCGATACGGAGCTCAGCACTCAGACTGGAAACGTAGGTCTGACGCGATACGCTCGCCAAAACGCGGGCCAACAAGTTGAGCCAACACGCAAAGTAGTGACACGGATGTTGCGCATCAAAGCGGGCGTATCGAGGCAGTTAAGGCTCTGATCGGCCAGGGTCCTTAAGCAACCTCCTTGGGCCGAGTGTGCAAGACGCCCACCGCAGGCCTCCCCGCCGCCGTCCTCGCCGCCGTCGCATCGTCGTCGTCGTTACCGCTGCCGCCGCCGTCGTCGTCGTCGTCGCCGCCGCCGCCGCCACCGTCGCCACCATCGTCGTCGTCGTCGTCGTCGTCGGCGACGCCGGCGTCGTCGTCGTCGGCAGCGTCGGCATCGGCGTCGGCGTCTGTCGTCTGCCATCTGTCGTCTGCCATCTGCCGTCTGCTTTCTGTCGTCTGATGTCTGTTCTCTGTCGTCATCTGTCGGCCGCCAAGCTGGCCTTGCCGCCACCGGTGCCGTCCGCCGAGGCATCGTCCCCGAGCGGCTCGCGAACAGCTGCCAGGTGCGCCTCGGGAGGAGGAGGAGGAGGAGGAGGAGGAGGAGGAGGAGGAGGAGGAGGAGGAGGGGACGAAAAAGGAGGAGGAGGATGCGGAGGCAGACGAGCAGGAGGAGGAGGCAGGAGGAGACAGGAGGAAAGAGGAGGCGGAGGAGGACAAGAGGAGGAGACATATGTATGAGAAAGAGGAGGCACGACCATAATAAACCCAACATGTATCAACGAAACTGCAATACACTCCCCATTAGAATATGTCTCACGTACCCCGTCATATTACCCTGCAGGTCTTCGGGCGTACCATTCAGCGAGAGCCGCGTCTTGAAAAAGAACTGCCTTGCATCTGTCTGCCGAACTAGGAGAATGCGACATGGTAGGGTCATAATGCTCAACGAGGTGTCCTGCGGTAGCCCCTTCCCATCCTTGGCCGATTTTTTGTACTTTTGAACTGATTACCGGTGTTTCGAAACACCCCCCCGGTCTTCATGAATGAGGGGGAACTAGCGCGAATTTGTCCCAACCGTCCTGTGATGTTGGGTCCTCGTTTTGAAGAGACAGAGCCCCGCATTCCTCCTCCTCCTCCTCCTCCTTCTCCTCCTCCTCCTCCTCCCGCTGCCCCCTCCTCCTCTCTCCTCCCGTCACCCCCGTCACTTTGGCACACCCCTCACACGCTTCGTGGCCCCATGGGGAGCTCCACCAAAGGCCCCAGAGGCAGGGTCCGCATGCGGTGCCCCGCCTATTTCGGCACACCCTTCACACGCTTCGTGGCCTCAGGGGAACTCCACCGAAAACCCCCGTGGCACGGTTTCCCCGCCCACTTCGGCACACCCCTCATACGCTTCGTGGCCCCATGGGGAGCTCCACCGAAGGCCCCAGAGGCAGGGTCCGCATGCGGTACCCCGCCCATTTCGGCACACCCCTCACACGCTTCGGAGCCCCATTGTATAAACCGACGGTAGCACACGAAGTCTCCTCGGGATGTGTTCGATCGAACTAACTATCTTGATAATCGTATCAACTCGTAAGATACGCAACCGTTTAACTGACGCAGGGCCCCCTGAACATGGCAATGGTGCTGACATGTGCGAGACAATTCCTTGCAACGCACATGCTATGCTGAAGCTGCTGAGCTGTGCTAATACACAAAACAACGTATATAAACTCGATAAAACTAGGGCTCGACTGACACGGGCGGAAAAAGAAGTCAGAACATATCCGTACAAAAAAACGCATATTGCCACGGTCGCGGCTCTCAGGAATGTCACCAGGAAGCTGGGAAAAAAGGGGAACAGGACCGAAACTAAAACATATAAAACGACGCAAACGCCGCTGGTTCCCTCTACAAGCCCGTCAGACCCAAATGTGAAACTCACCGGCGGTCGGGACAACGACGTCGATATGTCTGTCGTTTATCAGCACACCCGGCGATCGGTCTATCTCGCCAGGCAGAAACATGCACAAAGTGTGTTCTACTGAACACTCACGCTCGAGTCGGCCCTTCGCCGACCCAGTCACTCATGTGGGCCTCGCCGACCATCATGTCACTCATGTCGGCCACGCCGACCATCATGCCAAACGGGCCTCTCCGCCCCGTCACGAACGCTCCGTGAGCGTAGTCGGGCAGCGGCTGGAACCTCGGGGCGCTGAGGTCCTGGTGGTAGCGACGCTGCGACTGGACGAGCACATTGCGCGTCCTCTTCAGCTTCGTCAGCTTCGGGTCCGTCCTTGTCGTGGTGGTCGCGACACTGGGCTGCAGCGGCTCCGACTTGGGCTCGCGAGTCTCCTTGGCCCTCGTGTCGGGCTCGATCTGCTTGGTCTTCGCGTCGGGCTCGATCTGCTTGGTCCGGCGCGCCCACCATGCTCCAGCACGGAACCCGCAGTATAATGTCACCGCAAGTCCCCACACGAGACCGAAAACCATCATCTTCAGAATCATGTCGTTCCAGTCGGCCGTCGTCGGTGGACAGGGCAGCTCAAAGCCGCTGGGCGTGTGCTGCATCACCTGACCTGCCGCGCTGCTGCCTGCGCTAGCTGCCCATGCTGCAGCCAGCTTCGCTCCACTCGCGCCAAAGTGGCGCTTGGTCTTGGCTTTCGCCTTCGCCTTCGTCACTGTCGCGGGCGGTGTCTCGAGGGTGTCGTGTAGTGCCTCACCAACATCATCCAGCTCCTTCTCGCGTTGCTCCGCGGCTCTCTTGGACAACCTCTTGCCGGCCGCGACGTCGGGCCCACGCCGTAGCGCATGCACTCCACGCAGCGGCACATCGACCATCATCTGGCGGGCCGACAGCTTGGTAACGTCCGCCATCTGCTGCTGCGTACTTACCCACTTCCAGGTAGCGCTAATCTGCTATCTGCTCGTTCACGATCTTCACCTCGATGGCCGCCCTCTCCTCCGCGACGCCCAGGTCTGCCGTCGCTCCCAGGTGCACCGTCGCATCTTCGGGCTCAAGGTCGGGTCGCAGGCTCCGCGCCAGGTAGACCTTCACCCACGTCAGCGAGTCCGCGCCGAAGGCTGCGGCCTGGGCCCATGCTGACATCGAGCGCCTGCACACACGCTGCAACTTCTTCGAAGCCCACTCCATGGCCACGAAAGGTGCGGGGGCGCCGGCGTCGAGCTCGTCCGCGGGGCCAAATGAAGATTTCAGGACTCCTTGCGAACTTCCGTCATGTCGGCTCGCCCAGCTCACGTCGGTGTAGCTGCCAACTCGTAGTTGGCTCCAAGCCTTGTCGAACCCGAAGCGCAGCCCTACGTCCGCGTTGGCCTTGAGAAAGCGCAAATCCTTCTTCGCATCCAAGAGATCCTGCGCGGTGGCTCGACGTGTCGCCGAAGTTCGGAAGGACGCAGTAGCCGCTGCTATGATCACTCCTTGGGCTGCTGGCCGCTGCAATTGTCCACTCAGGGTCCTGCAATTCGTCAGCTCCCTCGGCGACAGCGCACTCGCGGGGTCGGCTCTCCGATGCTTCTCGACGGTGATGGGCTTCACCACGCGCGGGTGCTTCTCGGACTTGAGGGTCACGCCGTAGGTGCTCAGAGACTGCCCCCCTTCGCTTCCAGTGCAGACCAGACTCGGTCCGAACTCCCACTCGCCGAACTTACACTTCTCGCTGAGCACACCTAGCCGCGCCTGGAAGCACTCGGTATTGACAAGCTTCGCGTAGATGTCGGGTTCGTTCGTCGCGCCCTCGCCGCGCCCGATATCAGGCCATCCACCGCGCGGGTCGGGCCCTCGAAGCTGCGCGCGTCGAGCGGGTCGTCGTCGACCCTCGCTGGGCGCAGGGGCAGCAACAGGCAATCCTCGAGCCCGTGGTTCTTGAACCCGATCTCCTGCGCGACTTCGTCGAAACGATGAGCTCGGGCGACCGCGGGTCACCGAGACACGGCTTGATCATCCTGAGCAGCTGTCCAGGTTGGAGGCCGATATGGTGAGAGAGCTTCTCTCTCATCTCCTTCGTCGGGCTCGCGTGCAGCTTGAGGCCGCGCGCGCTCGCGTTCTCAGCCTGCAGGAATGTGGACATCACGCCCGCGCTGAACAACCTCTACTTCCATAGAGTCTCCCAGAGCGTGACCATGCGTCGGCCAAGCCTGCAGAAGGTCGGCGCCTCCTTGTCGAGCTGGCCCTCGGCAGCGTCGCGCGCGCGTTGGCCACCTTCTGCCCGTCCTTCAGCTTCCACTTGGGCAGGAAGCGCAGGGGGCAGCAGGCTCCCGGATCCACATCCGCCTCGTTGATGGGTCCCCAGCCGTCATTGCGACAGCAAACCTTGAGGGCCTCCAGCTTCGCAGCGTAGAACTGGTCCTTCACCTCGGGCGTCAGCCTGCCCTCCACGATGGCGGGGGCTTTCCTCTTGAAGGCCAGCATGTAGACCGTCTCGGTGTACTCCTCCGACAGCGGCAACTTGTCGCCCACCTCGTCGGCGAGCGCAGCCTCCTCGCTCTGCGGGGCGAGCTTCGCCCGCGACAGGCGGGCGAGCTTGGCTGGCGGGGCGCCGTCCAGCTTCTCAGCCTCATCGACACTCCTCTCAACCATCGCCTCGATGCGCAACCTGCTGGGCCCCTGCGAAGCGCTGCCAGTCGCGCCGGCGCTGGCCGCGGCTGGTCCGTCATCCTCGTCGTCGCCAGCCGTCGTCGGCCGAGGGTCTCCAGGAGCCGCCGCGGCAACTGCTCCTGTCGGGTCGTCGGTCTCGTCCGTCTCCATGGGCGCCTGGCCGCGTGGCGGCTGCTGCTCGCCCATGTCGCCCATGTGGTCGTCGCGCTGGGGCAAGCGCCCCTCCTCGGCGATCCCCCGGTAGTTGCAGGTTCCCTTCGTCCGCTTGAGCACGCGCCTGAGCTTCTCGATCGTGCTGAGCGGGCTGTCGGGGTCCTCGCTGCGCCCCTCTCGCTCGCGGGCCTCGCCTGGCTGCTCAGGGCGAAGCTGCTCCACGGTGCCGCGGTGGATCGCGCGCCCGTGAGTCACCCGCGCCACCGAGATGTGCAACGCATTGTCCTCGTTGACCTTCGCCTCCGCTGCTGCCGCCATAGCTGGGCCGTGCCAGTGGCACTTCTCTCGCCCCTGCATCTGCTCGGGTCGCCAGAAGTAGACCCACTCGACGATCTCGTAGTTCCTCCTCTTTGGCCCGCTGCGCGCCAACAGCGTCGTTCGCGCAGCGCGCCAGCCATTGGCCTCGATGAAGGCCGTCGCGGCAGCCGTCCTCCTGATCATCATCTCGCGCACCTCGCTCTCGGGGTCGACCAGCGCGGCCTGGTCCGACAGGCCGAAGTCCTCGTCGCAGAGGGCGCCAGGGATCTTTGGCTGCGCCCCAAGACCAGCGCCGCGGGCGAGAGACCGCGTGCGTTCCTCAGGGCGCTCAACTGGCTGGCGGTCATCCCGAGGGCGGTCTTGGGCGAATCGTCGGGGAACTGCAGATGGCGCTTGCTGAGTTGCCCCCTCCTGACCGCGCGGCTCCGCCCCGCGGAGCCTAGCCCGTGGTGCGCGCCCACCGGGGGCGCGTCGAGCATGATGCCAGGCTTGCCCATCCAG